TGCGGGGCGCAATCAACTCGGCTCCTGCGCCCTTCTGCCCCGGTAGGAGGAAAAACTCAAAGCGGACGGAAACGGAAAGAGTTCATGCAAGTCGTATTTGCAGACAGAAGTGAAGAATAATAAATTTAACAAAAAAAAAGGGGGGGACAAAAAAAAGGAAACGATCCCCCCTTTGCGTGGTGGGGTGGTGGTGGTGGTGGGGGATGTGCGAGGCAAAACGCCACCGGTGCGGGGGCGAGTAGCAGGAAAGAAGTAATGCCTTAGTAGCGGCGGGGAGAGGCGGTAAGGGAAGAGGAAAAATGGCAAGAAGTGGCGCCCTCAGCTGTTTGCGTACGGAAGATCCTAAAAAGAAAAAAAACGAGAGAAAAACTATAGTGGATGAGGTGATGGAAGGAGTGTCGATTTGGGGAGGGGGGGAGGGGTGTCTCTGGTGGTGGGGTGTAGGGAATAAAAAGGGGTTGGGGGTGATTTGGGAATGTGCACGGGATGGATGTGTGTATATATTTGACTTCCGTTGCTGTGGTTGCTGTTTTTTTTTTGTAAGCCTTTGGGAGTGTAGTGGGGGGACGTAGTAGTAGTCATGGGACGTGACAAGGTGAGTTCGTGGCGAAGAGTCATGGTAGTAGTACGTAGTAATCAAACACTGCCTATGCAGTCATTGCGAAGTTTGTTTCTTTCTTTCTTGCGCTCCCCTCCTTTTTTCTTTTTATATCTTCCCCCCCCCCCCACACGACTCAGTCACGCAGGTTTCACGCGTGCCATGTGCATGTAACTCTGCACGTGAGTGTGTGTGTGTGTGCGGGAGCTGCTATTGCCGTGGCGCACACGTGCGTAGGACTACGCGCGTCGTCCGCAGGGACTGTTCACACACCCAGAAGGAGGGCATAAAAAATGTTAATTATATATATATATATAAATATATAGACTGCCGCACGCGAGCAAAAACACAAGCCGAGGGGAAGCAATGCCATTGCTGCGTAAATTATATCTATAAATGCATATATGTATGGGTAATGATTGTGGTGCCGTGCGTTAGCGAATGACTGAACTTGGCTTCTTTTTGTTTTGTTACTTGGCTTGCTAAATGATTTTACCATTTGAAATTCCTTCTTCTGATATGTTTTTCTACAAGTCCTCTTTGTTATACCGCCAGGCTCGAAACGTGTGTTATTGCTCCTCAGCTGCGTGTCACTTTTACACCCGTTTCTCCCTTTCCCCCCCCCTCTTTTCCCTTTGTTTGGGGCTGCCACCGTGCATGACATCCAGCTACGCACAATCTTCACCCTGCCTGCCTGCCTGCCTGCCTGCCTGCCTCTCTGTCTGTTTGTCTGTCTGTTTGTTCACGTAGCTCGGAGCACACGCCCAATCACAAAAAGGGCGAAGGAAGGCAGAGTGTAGGGGGAGAGGGGAGGGAGGGGGTCAGTGTGCCGGACGGTTGACGACGTCTCCTTTAATAAAGCGACCGTGCGGGCCCGGAGGGAGAAGAAGAGGCTACATAACGCTGCATATACATACATATATATACACATATATATATAACCATTCATTAAGCGTTTCTGTCTGCGGGTCATTTTTAAAGGCCGAGGTTAACAAGTAAAGCTACACGTATAAATTTTGTCTGGGTGGTATTCAGCGAGTGTCGTCGCGTCGGTGGGTGCGTGCGTAATTGATTGATTGAGTGGTTGATTGAGTGCGAGTGAGTGAGTGTGTGTGAGAGAGAGAGAGAGAAATAGAGGGAGAGGAACGGAGGAAAAAGTGGGAGTGGAGAACATGTCGCAGCCGATTAACGAGGACGGGAATCACGTACCGGCCGGTGCCGAGCCAGCGAAATGGGGGCACCCCGGCGAGGAGGATGGAGTGGGGGCGGCAGACGCTGAGGAAGTCCCACGTGAGCCCGTGGAGCCCAACATGCACCATGCTGCGACCACCTCGCAGGCGCTAGACGGCGCGGGCCTGCTGAGAGCAGTGCCGGAGCACCTGCACTCGTTGGCTCTCCGTATTAACACCTTGAATGAGGCGGATCTTGTGATGATTGCCGAGATAGCGGAGGAGTACGCCAAGCGCGGTGTCTACTCGTTGCTCCCCTACACAGGGAGCAACTGGTTTTTGCCGCAAATCCGGGAGGTGGAAGAGGGGGAAAGTCACTGGAGCATTCAATGTGGTGCGTACGGGAGACTCTCCGTGACGCTTGGAGGTCGTCGTTTGCTGCTGCCAGTCACTAACATCTTACTACGCATCGTGGTGGTGGTGCTCTGTTGGTTTGCGCTGTGGAATATGCTGCCCCATTGGCTGATGGAGCCCGGCGGCTATGTGTGGGATCCCGCTGTCACCGTCGTCGTCTCTGCCGCCTTTGGGGGTTTGATCTGTCGCGTGTTGCAGATTCCCCCCCTCGTTGGGGTGCTATGGATTGCGATTATGTGGAACAACGTCCCCTACGAGAGCTACTTGACGCGGGGCATCGTGCTGCCGCTCAAGGACATTGTCTCGAAGCTGGGCCTGACCGTCATCATGGCACGGGCTGGCTACTCCCTCACCTTCAAGGGGATCCGGCCGCACTGGAAGCAGAGTCTCATGCTGGCCACCCTTCCCTATGCCTGCGAGGGGGTTGCACACAGCCTGATCGCAAATAAAATATTTAACTACGATAACAATTATCAGTGGGCTTTCCTGCAGGGGATGGTGTCTTCCATCGTCTCCCCCGCCGTGGTGGTTCCCGGCACGCTCTATCTGCACGAGTTGGGCTACGGTCACGGGTGTCAACCCTTTTCCCTCCTGCTCTCCGCCGTCGGCCTGGAGATTGTCTTTGGGGTGTGGGCGACGAATTTTATTATTGGCTTGCTCTTCCAAGAACAGAAACTCGCCGTGGCAATTGTGTTGGGGCCTGTTCAGTTGATTGGCGGCTGCATCCTGGGCATTGCCCTTGGCGTCGTTTTTTTCTACCTTGTGGAGATTCTTAAGCGCGAGGCGGAGCGTCTGCCGAATGGGAAGTATGAAAAGACGCACTTCTACGCCACGCTGGACTTCTCCACCTTTATCTTCCTCCTCCTCGCCTCCTCCATGGTGTTCCTCGGGTACTCGCTCAACCTCGCCGGCGGCGGCTGCACCATGTGCGTCTTCTTTGCAAGCGCCGTGACCCACCTGTGCATCAAGGACGGCAACGCGGAGCTGGAGCAGCAGCAGAAATACATTGGCTCGTGGCTGGCCTTCCTGTGGGACAACCTCGCGATGCCCTGCCTCTTTGCTGTGGTGGGGTCGAAGATAAGCATTTCCGCTATCTTCAATAGGGAGTTTTTCCCCAAGGCTGTGGTGTGCCTCGTCTCCAGCACCGCCGTGCGGGTGCTGGTGACGTTTTTGGTTCAGCTTGGCGCCGGCATGACTTTTTGGGAGAAGATGCTTGTGTGTGCGGGATACACTGGCAAGGCCTCGGCGCAGTGTTCTCTCGGCAGCCTTGCGGCAACGCTGGTTGCGGAGGAAATAGCTAACCTGGCGCCTGGTGTGCAGCCCTCGGCGGCGCTGCTACAGCGCAAAGAGTTTGCGAACAATGTGCAGCAGGTGGCCGCCATGTACGTGATGTTTATGGCGGCCGCGGCATCCTTCACCCTCGTGCGGGGCGGGGTGGCAATTCTTCCCAGGACGGCGCCGAAGAAGCGGTCACAGCGCCCACGAACGTCGACAGAGAGGTCAAGTGCCCTCGACGACGAGGAGGAGGGACGGAAGTATGACGGGAACGCTGCCGCCGTGCTTGTGGAGTTGCGGGAGCAGGAGGTCCACCCGACTTCCGCGGCGAGGGCAGCGTAGATGCAGCTGTTGTTGTTGTTTTTTTTTGGCGTCTTGGGGCACTTCTAAGAGGATGCGTGCATGTGTGTGCGTGTGCGTGTCTGCAGAAGGATATGTCGTCTTTCTCTCTGGAAGAGTCGCGGCGGGATCTCAAGCCAATACGTCTTGCCGGTGACTCTGTAGGAGGCATGCGCAGCGTCGTAGGGGCTGGTAAGGAATTGCAGGAAAGGGAAAGGAATGTGCGGTGCTTTGTTCGACGGCTGAGGGAGGGCATCCGCGGGAAGTTCCGTCAGTCTTTTTTTTTTATGCGTGTGTAGTATTTCTTTTTCTTCTGTTTTTGCCACTGTTGAGCGTTGCGAACCTGCAAAGCGCAGCACGCGGAGCTTTTAGCATCGCTCCGTCTCTCCCTTTCTCTCCCTCCCACTCTGCGCACATTGGCGTGTGCGTGCGTGCGTGTGTGTCTGTCTGCGCAGCGCGGCGGCGGCGGTGAAAGTTTTTTTTTTTTTTAGCTTCATTTGCGTGGCGTTCTTTGATTTGTGTCTGTTTTGTTTGCCTTTTTTTGTTTGCTTTGCTTGTGTTCCTTCCACGCGTTATATTCCCCGGTCCATTTCATTCCTCATCCCTCACCCCCCGCGCCGCGCCGCGCCGCGTCGCCGGCGGCGCACGCGCGCGCACAGTCAGTGGAGAGAAAACAACAACAACTAATAAACTAAAATGAAGCAAACAAACGCCTGCGGGGCTGCACGGGGTGCGTGCGCATGTGCGTGCCTCGGCTCCCGCGCTGCTGCCGCTGCCGTATTTGTGCTCCCGCCCGCGTGGCTTTGCCCAGCGTCGATAAAAACGCCTCTTGCCTCCTCCTCCTCCTTCTCCTCCTCCTCCTCCTCGGCGGCGGTGCCGGCCCCACGCGGAGGTCAACGAACCACTGCGTCCGAAGCGGCAGCGGAAGGAGCAAAAACAACAACATAAAAGGCGAAGTCGCACCCCCCAGCCTCCCCCACCGATATATATATATTTTTCCCGTCGTCTCAGTATGGCGAGCTGCGCTGTGGTGTGCCCCAAGGAGCTGCGGGAGGCCGCGCTCACCATCGTGCGGCGCTACAAGGAGGCCCCGCAGCGCCGGCTGCTTGTCGCCATCGCTGGCCGCCCAGGCAGCGGCAAGACGACCATCGCTGAAATCCTCGCGGAGGAGGTGAAAAAGGTGCTGCGCATGCACTCCGACGACCCCCGCGACCACGCGAATGATGCGGCCGTGGCGATGCCGATGGACGGCTACCACTTCTACCGCAAGACGCTGCGCGCGATGCCGAACGCCGAGGAGGCGGTGGCGCGACGTGGGGCGGAGTGGACGTTTGACCCGCGCAAATTATGCAAGGACTTGCAGGCCATTCGTCTGCCCGCCGCGACGGCCGAGACGACGGGAATACCGCTCTACGATGAGGTTCGCGTGCCTGCCTTTGACCACAGTGTGGGGGACCCGGAGGAGCACGCCATCTGCATCACCGGCAGCACGGCGATTGTGATTGTGGAGGGCAACTACCTCCTCTACCGCGGAACCCCGACGTGGGCGGAGGTGAGCCGCTGCTTCGACATTCACGTGTTTCTCGCCTGCCCGGCGGAGCAGTGCTTGGAGCGGATATGCCGGCGACACATGGTGTCGTTTAAATTGACCCGTGAGGGGGCGATGCTGCAGGCCGGAGGGACGGACGCCGTGAACGGCGACCTCATCGACACGACAAAAGAAAACGCGGATATTGTGCTCCACTCCATTGAATGTAAGCTGTAGAGCTGCACGCGCCTCGGCCTGGCAGCCATGTTCCTGGCCGCTTTCTCGCTTAATCACGCCGCATAGATGCGTGGCGGCGCAGGAAGCCGTAACGCTTCACTCTTCGTTCTGGCTGCGCCTGCCATTTCGACGGGACAAGGCTAAAGCGGAGCTTTGCAGGCCACAGGAGCAACGGGAAACTGAAAACAACAATATGCAAAACGAACCACGAAAAAGAAAAAAAAATAATAAACAACAAAAGAAAAAAAAAGAATAGGCAATCGAACACTAAAACCCACGGTAATATAATAGAAGGAAAAACTAAT